ACATTAACGTTTTTAAACTTATAGGGACATCTATGATTTGCGAATTTATATTTGTATAAATTATAAATCTTCCGACTATCATTTTTACTCATATTCTTACAGCTCCTTGCTGAGGGAACGCGGCCCTCGTTTTCTACTTATCATTAAATGTGGCATTATCCTATGGATCTGCTTATCCAATGGAACAGAATTATAGTCACGTACTAATGTCCCTTGAAACGGGACTAGAGGAATCCGAAGAAACGTTCGAACAAAATTTCTGATGAGTGCAGACTTTTGTTTGACTTGTAGGCTGCAATTGTGAAAGGTAAAGAAAAAAAGTCATAATCAAATTCGTATAGTGCGAGGCTAGCATCCTGTAATCCAATAACGATACATGATTTAGTTGATTACGACGTGACAAATCTTTCACGTTCTTCGGTCATTCAGTCATGCTTCGACGTTGACAGTTGCGTGTATGCAGAAGACGGAGGCTGAGACAGGTATCGGTACCATTCTGTGTACGAACATACCTATCAAATCACGCGAGGCGTCGTCTACATATTCTTTTGCTACACAGTAATGAAATAACGTTCAGAAAACAGCGAACGAGAATAATGGATAAGCTTTGAAAAACCTGTGAGGAGGAGAGGGGAAGATACGGAAAAGTGGAAAAGATTAGAGAATAGTTTACACTTGTGGTAAGACTTTATTAAGGATCCGGAAGAGCGGGAACACTTATGGTAAGACTTTATTAAGGATCCGGAAGAGCGGGAACACTTATGGTAAGAGTTTATTAAGGATCCGGAAAATCGGGAACACTTGTGGTAAGACTTTCTTAAGGATCCGGAAGAGCGGGAACACTTATGGTAAAAGTTTATTAAGGATTAGGAAGGGTGAGTAAGATCAGAGAAAAGTTTATTGAGAACCATGAAGAGCGGAAGAAATTAAAAAAAGAATTTAAGGATCAGGAAGAGAGAGAAGATTTAAAGAAAAAGTTTAAGGATCCGGAAGAGTGGGTAAGATCAGAGAAAAGTTTATTGAGGACCATGAAGATCGGGAGAAACTAAAAAAAGAGTTTAAGGATCAGGAAGAGAGAGAAGGTTTAAAGAAAGAGTTTGAGGATCCGGAAGAGTGAAAAGGATAATAATAAGACTTACTGAGGATCAGAAAATAGTTTGAAGGTATGGAAAAGTTTAGAGAAGATTAGAGAAAAGTTTATTTTGAGGAAGTCTTTTTCCAGTGGGAACTGGATCCTAGATCCTGTTTACTGTTTCACTCTTGTTCTATCAACATTATTCACCAATAATTACAAAAGCATTTGCAAAGACAAATTTGGCAATGAAAAAAATATAATTAATGCTTTTAAAAATGTTTTCACCCTGATTTAAAGTAATAGACACATTACTTAATCTTAGTTTTCTTATCTGATTTGTTGTTTGATGTTAATCACAAAGCTGAGCAGTGGACTATCTGTGTTGTGACAACCGCAGGAATCGAACTCTGCATGTTAGCATTATAAGCCCTCAAAGAATTATTTTATTTAAATATCTATTAATATTTTCTTTTATACGTCTCCGATTGTTGAAATTTTTGTAATCCCATTTGTTAGGGCTAATAAGCTGCCTCGTTTTGCAAACTTACGTGTTTTACACCACCATTTAACGTCCATTGATCAAATATTCAACATTTTAACTGAGTTAAAAAAAAAGGAGAAAATAATTAAAGTTTTATCCAACAGACTGACCACACTGACAGCCCTTGCTGAACACCGCTCCAATTATATTTGATTCTCCTCCGCTTTTATTTTTTTGTCTCTACGATGGCCACCTGGGGGATCAGCGGTGAGCCCAACGAATAGGGGGATTGAACGTCACATTATAACGCCCCCACGGCTAAAAGGGCGAGCATGTTTGGTGTGACGGGGATTCGAACCCGCAACCCGCAGATTGCGAGTCGAGCGCCCTAACCACCTGGCCAAGTCGGGCCTAAACCGGTTTAAAGTAGTCAAAGCTGTCATATTACAAAATATTTTGAATTAATAAACGGGAAAAATCTAACTAATATGTTAATTTTTTTCATGATGACGATATTCTGTGTATTTTTTATCATCATATAACAAATCGCGAAAACCGTTCTAGAAATAAAAATACAGCTCAAATATTCGTTATTTGAATTGACTGGCACCATACCTATAAAAATATATAAATCTCGTTAAGTCCATCAATAGTGATAAAAGTAACTTTTCACTGCATATGCATTTTTATAACACTTTTCTTGGTTAGCCCCATTACGGATTTTAAATCAGATGTGTGTACAAGCAAACTTATCTTCTGTTTGTCACAAGTCACTGACAAAGAGGTCTTTCGTTCAATGCTAAAACCCATCAGCTGCTATTTAGTACAAAACTTGATAGGCCGAATGAATGTGATTAAAATCATGTTTGACTTCAGACGCTTGTTTATTCATCATACATTTCAAATTAGGGGAGTATAGGTCAGTAGCACAGCAATGTATGCGGGTTTCGATACCCATGGCGGGTAGGGCACAGATAGCCCTTTGTGTAGCTTTTTTTTATTTATAACAAACAACAACAACATCCTCTCTTTTCAAAGCATGGCAGTTAAAAAAATGTTCATTGGTTAGAATATGTTAAACCGGTTTAAATTGTTGTTTGTTTGAATTTCGCGCAAAGCTACACGAGGGCTATCTGCGCTACCCGTCCCTAATTTAGCAGTGTAAGACTAGAGGGAAGGCAGCTAGTCATCACAACCCACCGCCAATTCTTGGGCTACTCTTTTAGGGGGGCAAGGGAGGATCTAGTGGGGATTTTTGTTTGTGACTTCCGTGCGATTAGTGGTTTTTCTTTCATATACATATGCTATCATAGTATTTCTCATTAGTCTGCCATGATTAAAGGTTGTATATAAACTATGTTAGTGCGTCACAGGGAAATAATATTTAAAATAGACGCATTTTCTCCGCCAGGTGGAGGCGCAAGGCATTCGTAAAAAAAAAAAAAAGTAGTCGAGTTTCTTGTGAAAAGTCAATACTTTAATTTGTTTTTGTACATGATGGCTTATTCATGTTGATATCTGTCAAACTAAGTTAGGACGATTATGGTGTACAGCGCGTATTAAATAACTATTTCGAATTCGTTGTTTTCTAGTTTAAAGATAAATGAAAATGACAACATTGTTCCATTTTAATAGGTTCATTACATGTGGGTGATGAAATTCGTGAAATCAACGGAATCCACATAACTAACCAGTCTGTGGATATGCTGCAGAAAATGCTGGTAAGTTGGACCTCTCTCTCTGTTTATAAGTCACACTGCGGTTTCATCGTGATTTGATGCAAGGCATTTTACTGCCCTCTGTTGACTAAACAAGACAAACATTATTTTTTGTCTAGGTTAATGAAAATTAACATTTCATTTGCAAGGATTTATTGATTGAAGAGAAAGTCCATAGAGAGAGAAAGAAAAAGGTCAGGTATTTCAACTTTATGAAAAGAAATGTTTGGTTCTACTGACCAGTCTGGAACTACTTAAAGTGAAATTTGTAAGCACCTAGTGTGTAGTTTTATAAGTTCAATTTGTATCATTAATAGCTTCTTCTGGTTTTGTTTTTGTTTTGTTTTTCAGAAAGAGGTTCAGGGCAAAGTTACTTTCAAAATAATCCCTAGCTTTAGGAATGCTCCGCCACCTTGTGAGGTAAGCAAAAAATAATAGTTATGTTTCTTAACTTCATTGTTTGCGCTAAAAATTCATGTTTCTCCAGTGGGGGAGGGGAGGGCCGGATATTTACTGAGATACACTTTGAAAGTCCAGCTAGTCACAACCATTTAATGGAAAAAAAATTTAAAAAATACTATGCATATGACGTCATAGTTATCAACGTGCTGTGACGTTATAGTTATCAACGTGCGTGTCCGTCACCGGTAGAGATGTACACTGCAACTTTTAATCAATTCGATTTGAATCGGGCGGAACTATTTTCTGTGTAAGGTTAGAGGTCAGTATAGAACAGGCTCAGACTGAGACGAAGGTGAATAATTAATCGGATTTACGAATTTGGATTATTTTCAACAACCACATTAAAGCCTGTGTAGAAATTATTGGTTGTTACAGAATTAAAACTTTCGCTCATATCTTTAACGTCTAAAGTAAGAAATAGGTTTTTTTTTTAATATCATTTGTAGAGAGGTTTTTGTTGTTGTTAAAGTATCGAAACCCGACTTTTTAATATTATAAGCCCTGAGATATTTTAGTGAAATAAAGTTTCTTTTGATTTCTCAGGTAATTAACTTTGAAATGACCGATTTAGTTTTATGCCAGTCACTTCAGACGGAGTCCAGATATTGCATTATATTGATAAATTTTATATTTTTCTTGCTCAACAGTGGTTAAACTGGGATTTTCAAAGAGGGTGAGCTCCGTTTTGTGACCCACTCTGTATAAGAAGTGTGGATCACAATACGACAGAAGATACACACTCTCTGAGAACATATTCAAATGTTAAATGGGGCCGTCTTATACAACACTTTAGAGTTAAAGAAAGAAGCTAAATGACCCAGTTTATTTTAGAGAAGACCAAAAATGCCAATGTCTTGAATCGTCAAGAGGTGGAACGCCATTCCGGATCGCTCCGCCCCAATTTAAATTAATTGCATTTGTGTTATTTTTTTTTCCACATTTTTTTGTGTGACTCATATGCCACCAGAAACTCTGTAACTAACAAAGTCATCTACGTACAAGTATTTATGAACATAAAGAGTTTGGAATAATGTGTTTCAAAAGCCGATGGACTCTATTCAACAATTCTAGGGTTAAGTCTTCTTTATTAATGTCCGTCAGTGAACAGCGATAAGCTTGAAGGATTATAATGCTAAAAATATGGAGTTCGATTCCCACAGCTAGTAGCATAGCTGAAATATATTTGAATAATATTAACTTACAAAGACCACGTATGGCCAGAATACGTTGCTTGTTTTGAATTT